GGTGGGTACCCCGCGCGACGCGGCGGGTATACGGCCGCGTCGATTTTTTCAAGCAAGGAGAGGTACTGGTGGTTTAACCACACAGGACCACCGCCCATCACCATCTTGACGGGGTGACCTTAGCAGACAGCGGTTGCAGGCACCCTGGCTAAGCAAAGACTCCTACCCCCTGGTCAGGCCCAGCAGACCCCGTGCAAGCCCGATTGCATGGGGACTTCGAGAGCTAGGAACGAACATGCTACTATTTTTTCATGAGGGCGCACAGCGGACTCCCATCTAACACAACCTAGTTTTTAGCCTAGTAGATAGCCGAGTTGATAGCCTTGTAGATAGCCCAATTGATAGCCTACTCAATAGGGGGATCGATATCCCTACTAGTTGATAGGTAAGCTGATATCCTAGTTGATAACTGAATTGATGTCCCAAGTGATAGCCTAGTTACTTGGCAAGTTGTAGTATGAGACATAGAGCTGAAGATCCTCCGTTCCCTTGGAGAATCTTAGCCAGTACTAGGGTGACAGCTGCGGCAGCAGAAGGGAAAAAAAAACAGTGGAAAGAAGTTGCATGCAGGCAAACTTGTGAGGCCATCCCCTTTCTTGCAGGTTACGTCTCCAACATATAGGACTTCCGCGAAGGGGATGTGACCTGAGAGGATGTCGTTGTGGTGGTGTTGGTTCTGCTCATCTTTGTCTTTGGCGTTCATACAGAGCAGATTGGGATAGCCCGTATGCAAGGGGGGGGGAACGGGAAAAAAAGTTCCATGCAAGCACATTTGTGAGGTGTGCACCATTTTTGCACTTTATGTCTCCAGCATCCAGGAATGTTGTAAAAGGGAGGTGACTTGACAGGATGTAGTGGTGGGTAAAAGGGGGCTACCCCCCTCCCCACGCACCGCTTCCCCGCATTAAACTCGCCGTTTTCCGGATGGTTTTGGTTTTGCTCATTCTTGTCTGCAGCGCTCATGAATGTCAGGAAGCGCTCCCCACCTCTAGTGCCCACTTCTGAATTTGTTGATCTTTGGCGGGGTCCTCCTCCCTCCCCCTCAACTGCCCAGTCTTGGTTCTGCTCATCTTTTGGAAGCAAAAAATTGGTTAAAAAAACGAACCGATTAGCATAGCCCGGGCATAAGGGGAAAAAAAAGAAAAAAAAAGTTCCTTGCAGGTAGATTCCCCCTGCACTCATTCTCCCCCTCAACTGCCCGGTCTTGGTTCTGTTCATCTTTGTCTTTGGCGGTTATGGATGTTGGGAAGTGGAAAACTGGTTGAATATAGAGCAGGCCTCTCAACTGCCAAGTCTTGGTTCTGCTCATCTTTGTCTTTGGCCGTTATGGATGTTGGGAAGTGGAAAACTGGTTGAATATAGAGCAGATTAGCATAGCCCACGTAACGGTTTGTCCTCCCCCCTCAACTGGCGGGTTTGGGTTGTGCAGTGTGCTCTATCAAAATTCTTTTTTTATTTTTTTCACAAAAAAGGCTTTGCTCATTTGATTACGTTGTCGTGGCAAATACCCTGACAAGGGTATTTGCCGGGGATTTTAAACGTCGGACACTGTCCGACTTTGTCGTTGAATTGAAGGATTTGATAAGAGTGGTATTTTCCAAAGCCCGTTCAGACCAAACCTTCGACTAAGAGATTGAATTTTTTGTTTAAGCTCAAACGTTTGGGGCATGCTATAGCGGCGGTGCGATCGGTCACCAACCTCGTCTGGTGACGACGCAGGGACGTACGGGCATTGAATATTAAGTCTAACTTTTATACTACGTAAAATAATGACGCGCGACTAGTCGCGCGATCTAGAGCCTATGAGGCTAATAGGGACCGCCGTACGAGGGTTAAAATCACGACGGCGGCCAGCAGACCCAGCAGCTCCCTCTACTAAGAGTTGGGGACCGCCGCGGTTGACGCAGAAGGCCAGCCAAGGGTCGGGCAAGGTGGTGCCGGGTCTATAAAGGCTATGGGCAGCCGACCATTGAGTGGGAACTCTTCATATAGAAGAGTTGCCCTTGCTCCTACTGTAGTAAGAGCTAGCCCAGTGAGTAAACACAACATGTTATTCGTTAAAACAGTACATTCTTGTGTGTACTATTTTGAAACAAATTTATGACAAAGTGTATAGTCTAGTGTAGTATTACAGATCCGGATACATCCGAACCAGGAGTAAAATCAGCTTTGAGGCGAGGAGCACAGTCAGTACATATATCTGCTGCGCTCCTCTCGTGGTTTGGATGTGTCTAGATGTGGAACACCACAGCAGAGTATACACTGTGTTATACGCCTCTGAGTCAATACATGTATCTGTTGCCTCAGTACATATATCTGTTGCGCTCCTCTCCTGGTTCAGATGTGTCCAGATGTGGAACACCACAACAGAGTAATACATTAATATATTACACTTAGTTTCACTTCGAGTTGAGCATCACACTCATCCAAATCAGAACAGTATAATGACATGAACTCGAGTTTGTGAGGAGTACAACGAGTTGTGGCTCTTCACTGACTTAGAGGAGTAGGATGACGTGTATTTAGAAGTGTGAGGACTAGAATGAATTGGAGTTCTGCACCGATGACCATGTACATTTGAAGGGCGAGAGAGATAGAAAGAAAGAGAGAGACACAAAGAGCGAGAGAGAGAGAGACAGAAAGAGCGAAAGACAGAAAGAGCGAGAGACAAAAAGAGCGAGAGATAGAGTCTCAGAGAGACTGTACTTAATTTTCCCGAGACGCCGCACAGGAGGCGCAGGGTCGAGCGCACGCGTAGACCATCAGCCTCGCTTTTTAAAGCATTTCAAATGATCGTTGTTGGAGAGCAGCAAGGTAATGCGAATTTCCAAGGCAAGTGAAGTTCGGATGTATCCGAGATCACAGGAGATAGACAGAGAGAGGAAGTCCACAAGAAATGGTCGTGTACATTTGAAGAGCGAGAGATATAGAAAGAGAGAGAGAGACAGAAAGAGCGAGAGACAGAGAGTCTCAAAGAGACTGTACTTAATTTTCTCGAGACACCGCACAGGAGGCGCAGGGTCGAGCACACGCGTAGATCATCAGCATCGCTTTTAAACGCATTTTAGATGATCGTTGTAGGAGAGCAGCAAGGCAATGCGAATTTCCAAGATAACCGAAGTTCGGATGTATCCACAAGAGATAGACAGAGAGAGGACGTCCGCAAGAAATGACAAATTAGCACGCCAGAGGGCTGAGAGATGGAAAAGACAAACACCGTATAATCATCCACAACATTTCGTGTTACAGACATATCCGAAGTGTCGAACTAGTATAGACCCTTCAGTTCGAAGTTTCCCTTGTGTTTTTTGGGACACAGTTCAAGAAGTATTTTTTTCGAAACTGAGAGAGAGAGAGAGAGAGAGAGAGAGAGAGAGAGAGAGAGAGAGAGAGAGAGAGAGAGAGAGAGAGAGAGAGAGAGAGAGAGAGAGA